ACCTCAACGCCACAACGAAAACATTGTCGAGGCTGTCCCGCGTAGAACGACCACATAGTGTAGCCCATCAAGGTCACCGCGGAGGGAACAGGAGACTTGAGCCGCAAGCCGAGGGACCGGGTCCCACACAAGACACCATGCCACCTGCCAGCAGAGACGGAGTTTATCCGGACGGAAACGACAGTCCCAAACTGGCCAAAATACCATTGAAGCAAAACCTCCGTGAATTCAAATGGCACACCATGCAGGGCTACATACGTCACCGAACAACACCGGTCAGAGATAGTGACGGTACCACCATCCCCAGGGAGAGGAAGAGAGCGCCCATCGTACCGGGCCACAAAGTCTCTATAAACAGCAGCTGAGTTAAACTTAAAAAGTGCCCGATGGGTGGACAGCAGCAGTTACAATATCTTAAATTCAAATGGCATATCTATTGGAATCATAGGAAGTGAGGAATGAGGACATCTTCACCTTTTTACAGATCAATTTCACCACCAATTGCACTGAAAAATAAGATGAACAGTTAAAAAAAAGAATTAAAAAAGAAACAAATAAGCAATTCCCAGGAAATGAACGGTATGATAAACATCACCCCTCAATTCCAATGCAACGTCACACAAATTAATTAAATCAAAATGAAAATAAATAAAAATCTATGAAAATTCAATATAACAATGCAATCAGAAACATTGAAATAGAATAGTGACATATTTTACACATCGTGTGTTGCTCTTACGTGCAACAGATGGCGCTGTTTTAAAAAAAACGCGTTTTCAGCTGTCACAGGGGTGGCATCTAAATAGTAGGTATATCAAAACACGCATGTATTCAAATGGAACGTTGTGTCAAAATTTTAAAGCAATCGGTGAAGAAGTTTTAGAGATTATGTAGTGTGTTGCTCCTACGTCCTACAGATGGTGCTGTTTTTTCAGAAAAGGCTTATTTTTTATGTCGCAGGTGAGACATGTATATAGTAAGTATATATAAACACTCGCCTATTCAAATGCAATGTTATGTAAAAATTTCAAAGCAATCGGTAAAGAGGTTTCAAAGATTTCCCTCACATGAAAAACACAGCTTTTTAAAAAAAGCGTGTTTTTCCCCGTCAAGCCAAAAAAAAGCCAAGTTTCCTGAATTTATATATTTTTCAATATTTTTTTCTCATGAAATGATAAAGCTATTCATTTCACTATGTATGTATAATTTTTTTTAAATTTGAGTTAAAACTAACGTAAATATATGACCGAACCTAACGAACCCTACCTAACCTAACCTATCTTAACCTAACCTACACTAACAGAATTAAGTCAATAATTTATGTTCTTTATGTAATATAATAATAATTCAAACCAACTAATAGGAAACAATTTATTTATAATAAAGAAAATCACTCGGCCTATAAGGCAAATCGGGCCGTGCATAGTAGGCCAAGAAGTGCATTCTGGGATATTATATATATATATATATATATATATATATATATATATATATATATATATATATATATATATATATATATATATATATATATGCGAACAAGCCTGAATGGTCCCCAGGACAATATGCAACTGAAAACTCACACCCCAGAAGTGACTCGAACCCATACTCCCAGGAGCAAACGCAACTGGTATGTACAAGACGCCTTAATCGTCTAATGTATAATCGATTAAGGCGTCTTGTACATACCAGTTGCGTTTGCTCCTGGGAGTATGGGTTCGAGTCACTTCTGGGGTGTGAGTTTTCAGTTATATATATATATATATATATGTCGTACCTAGTAGCCAGAACGCACTTCTCAGCCTACTATGCAAGGCCCGATTTGCCTAATAAGCCAAGTTTTCATGAATTAATTATTTTTCGACTACCTAACCTACCTAACCTAACCTAACCTAACTTTTTCTGCTACCTAACCTAACCTAACCTATAAAAATAGGTTAGGTTAGGTTAGGTAGGGTTGGTTAGGTTCGGTCATATATCTACGTTAATTTTAACTCCAATAAAAAAAAATTGACCTCAAACATAATGAAATGGGCAGCTTTATCATTTCATAAGAAAAAAATTTGAGAAAATATATTAATTCAGGAAAACTTGGCTTATTAGGCAAATCAGGCCTTGCAAAGTAGGCTGAGAAGTGCGTTCTGGCTACTAGGTACGACATATATATATATATATATATATATATATATATATATATATATATATATATATATATATATATATATATATATATATATATATATATGTCGTACCTAGTAGCCAGAACTCACTTTTCAGCCTACTATTCAAGGCCCGATTTGCCTAATAAGCCAAGTTTTCCTGAATTAATATATTTACTATAATTTTTTTCTTATGAAATGATAAAGCAACCCTTTTCTCTATGTATGAGGTCAATTTTTTTTTATTGGAGTTAAAATTAACGTAGATATATGACCGAACCTAACCAACCCTACCTAACCTAACCTAACCTATATTTATAGGTAAGGTTAGGTTAGGTAGCCAAAAAAAGCTAGGTTAGGTTAGGTTAGGTAGGTTAGGTAGACGAAAAAACATTAATTCATGAAAACTTGGCTTATTAGGCAAATCGGGCCTTGAATAGTAGGCAGAGAAGTCCGTTCTGGCTATTAGGTACGACATATATATATATATATATATATATATATATATATATATATATATATATGTCGTACCTAGTAGCCAGAACTCACTTTTTGGCCTACTATTCAAGGCCCGATTTGCCTAATAAGCCAAGTTTTCCTGAATTAATATATTTTTTCTAATTTTTTTCTTATGAAATGATAAAGCTACCCATTTCATTATGTATGAGGTCAATTTTTTTTATTGGAGTTAAAATTAACGTAGATATATGACTGAACCTAACCAACCCTACCTAACCTAACCTAACCTATCTTTATAGGTTAGGTTTGGTTAGGTAGCCGAAAAAGTTAGGTTAGGTTAGGTTAGGTAGGTTAGGTAGTCGAAAAACAATTAATTCATGAAAACTTGGCTTACTAGGCAAATTTGGCCTTGCATAGTAGGCTGAGAAGTGAGTTCTGGCTACTAGGTACGACATATATATATATATATATATATATATATATATATATATATATATATATATATATATATATATATATATATATATATATATATATATATATGTCGTACCTAGTAGCCAGAAAGCACTTCTCAGCCTACTATGCAAGGCCCGATTTGCCTAATAAGCCAAGTTTTCATGAATTAATTGTTTTTCGAGTACCTAACCTACCTAACCTAACCTAACCTAACTTTTTCGGCTACCTAACATAACCTAACCAATAGAGATAGGTTAGGTTAGGTTAGGTAGGGTTGGTTAGATTCGGTCATATATCTACGTTAATTTTAACTCCAATAAACAAAAATTGACCTCATACATAATGAAATGCATAGCTTTATCATTTCATAAGAAAAAAATTTGAGAAAATATATTAATTCAGGAAAACTTGGCTTATTAGGCAAATCAGGCCTTGCATAGTAGGCTGAGGAGTGTGTTCTGGCTACTAGGTACGACATATATATATATATATATATATATATATATATATATATATATGTCGTACCTAATAGCCAGAACGCACTTCTCAGCCTACTATTCAAGGCCCGATTTGCCTAATAAGCCAAGTTTTCATGAATTAATGTTTTTTCGTCTACCTAACCTACCTAACCTAACCTAACCTAGCTTTTTTTGGCTACCTAACCTAACCTTACCTATAAATATTGGTTAGGTTAGGTTAGGTAGGGTTGGTTAGGTTCGGTCATATATCTACGTTAATTTTAACTCCAATAAAAAAAAATTGACCTCATACATAGAGAAAAGGGTTGCTTTATCATTTCATAAGAAAAAAAATTATAGTAAATATATTAATTCAGGAAAACTTGGCTTATTAGGCAAATCGGACCTTGAATAGTAGGCTGAGAAGTGAGTTCTGGCTACTAGGTACGACATATATATATATATATATATATATATATATATATATATATATATATATATATATATATATATATATATATATATATATATATATATATATATATATATATATATATATATGTCGTACCTAGAAGCCAGAATGCACTTCTCAGCCTACTATGCAAGGCCCGATTTGCCTAATAAGCCAAGTTTTCCTGAATTAATATATTTTCTCTAATTCTTTTCTTATGAAATGATAAAGCTACCCATTTCATTATGTATGAGGTCAATTTTTTTTTATTTGAGTTAAAATTTATGTAGATATATGACCGAACCTAACCAACCCTACCTAACCTAACCTAACTTTTTCGGCTACCTAACATAACCTAACCTATAAAGATAGGTTAGGTTAGGTTAGGTAGGGTTGGTTAGGTTCGGTCATATATCTACGTTAATTTTAACTCCAATAAAAAAAAATTGACCTCATACATAATGAAATGGGTAACTTTATCATTTCATAAGAAAAAAATTAGAGAAAATATATTAATTCAGGAAAACTTGGTTTATTAGGCAAATCGGGCCTTGCATAGTAGGCCGAGAAGTGTATTCTGGCTACTAGGTACGACATATATATATATATATATATATATATATATATATATATATATATATATATATATATATATAATTAATTATTATTATTATCATGGTTTACCCTCTGGTGACAAAACATATTAGAACTGTTGGAACATAAATATTAGAACAATCCACCATTTAGTGGATAGCTTACAACCATCTTACAAGCTAGTTTTCAGATTAGTTAATAAATTAGGACCATCTTGCAAGTGATCTGACTGGCTTATTACTTATCAACATCTTTCAAGTGCTCTTATTCTTGGAGTTAAACTATTTTTGTGTGGAAAAGGACACTATCAGTCCAACAGCTATCAGTAATATCTATACGATAGATTTCAATAACTTATCAATATCAAAATATTATATATATATATGCCACATTGAGACAATATATTTTGCCTTTATTGTACAGATAGACGAAAAGGATGAGCTGAAGGAGAGTAAAAGCAGCAGTTCGCTTGGTAACACCAATCCAAGTTTCACCCCTGAAATTTTGGAGAAAACATACAGTGAAAATGAAAACTATAAGCTGTAAAATATTGTCTTTTAACTCGGCTCCCTAACTGGCAAGTTAGGGAGCCATAAGACTGATGCAAAGGTCATAACATATGTCATAAGACTGATGCAAAGTTACAGACAACAGGGAATTCATCTTCATGAGATGAGTAAGATAACAACTCTACGTGAAGCTTCTGTCCCCTTCAACGCCACGAGAGAGTCATCTACACCACTATGCTTTGCTGGTAAATTATTATGCAACATCCCAAGTGACAAAAAACACACAACGAAACTACGACGTTGCTACAACGGTGGAACGAGTTCTAACACCTTCTAACAATTGTAACAATCAGTATAGCGAGTTTAAACAACGTTGTAAAAGTCATAAAAACGTTTTAATAAGACGGAACAACAATATTACAAATTGTAACAAGGGAATCATAATGACCATTACGTTGTGTGTTTGCAGGGTAGGGTGGTTACGTTTACTCTTTTCTGTCTTTTGTAGGCGGTGGATGATTAGTTATGACTCGTGTTTTGACTTCATTAAGGTTATGTATAATATGTCTAACAACTTCTTCACTGTTGAATCTGAGTTAAAGTATAATTTAGTTTGTTACTCTGCACTGTTAGATAATTTTTCAGTGGTCTGTCAGGCATTTGTTCGCAAAGCTGGCTTGGTCCATTTACTTAGCTGCTGATCAGCCTACTCTGTAAGGGTTTGGAGGGCTCAATCTGAAACCAAGAACAGAAACCACAACGACTCCCAAAAAATTATATTACAAATCATCCATGCACAGTGAACATAAAAAGAACAAATAATGAGAGAAATAATCCGTAAAGGAGTAAAAAGTACAATTCCTAACCAAAACATTGACTTAATCATATACCATAAAACAAAGAAGACTACCGATCTCCTTATGAAACACAGCCCGAAACCGACGGTGAACCCTTTACAGCAGTCAAACATGGCATATATATCTACACTTGCCCCCACAAAGGATGTAGCCTTCGATCTAAGTGCATAGGTATGACGTCGACTAAGCTTACGAAGCATTTGACTTGTCAAATCTTCAATCAGGGGCCCCACCCAAAATCACATGAGACCAGCCCATGACATCACCCTATAAAGAAAAATGTTGAACAAAAACAAATGAATAATTAATAGACAAAACCAAAGATGTACGAAGATTACAAATTCTTGAAGCAATCCACATACAAATAGAACTAACCACCATAAATACCCAAATTTTGGAACTATTCACTCTCTTTATCAGAGCCTCGGATATTAGCACCAAGTAAGGCATCCAGCACTTCCACTAACACGATAACATCATTTATATTTACCAACATCCAGGGAATAAAAACACCCAAATCCAACAAAGTTCACTTTATAGATGGTCTCCTTCATGAGGCAAATGCAGTGTTTGCAGCCCTAACACAAACCCACACAAAGGACTCCATTGATGGTGAAATACGGATCTCGAAGTACAATCTTTTCAGATGTGATAGGAAACACCGGCTTCAGGGTGGGGTCAGCCTCTACATCAAAGACACACTCATCTGTACTGAGCTGCTAAACACCTCAACGGAGGCAAACCCTCAGCAATTTAAAGACCAACTAATGAAAATAGAACACTGCTTGGAAAACCTCACAAATCCAGCTCCGAACATCATCCTGCTTGGGGACTTCAACCTACGGCACCTGAAATGGAAGCACCTGGCTAATACAGTAATATCAGAAAAAATACCAGGAAGTAGCCTAAATGAACAGGCACATGCAAATGACCTGCTACGGATGTGCGACAGGTTTGCCTTAAACCAGCAAATAGTAGAATCAACTAGGAAGGAGAACACGCTGGACCTCCTTTTTACTAATAATGATGAATTGATCAGGACCATAATGATTACAAATACCTGTTACTCAGATCACAACTTAATTGAAGTTATGACAACCAAGGGGAATAGACCTTCAAAACCATTCCAGATTCCCGGTGGAGAATATTTCAGCAAATTCAACTTCAATAACAAACAGATAAACTGGGAGCAAATAAACCAGGACTTCACATAAATAAACTGGGAAGAACAGCTAAAAAATGCAAACCTGAACCAGTGCCTGGAAAAAATAAGCTCAGTAGCACTAGAAGTGCTACTGAGCACTTCTCAGTGCTATGAGAAGCACTCATAGCACTGAGTGCGAAAATAGGTGAAGAAAACGAATCGCGGAACAACTTGAGAGTCGCACCCTATCTCAAGAACGGCGAAGAAGGTTAGGTACAGAATTAAAAACAATTGAACTCAAGCTACAAGAATCATACAAAACCCAGGAGAGGCAAAGAGAGCAAAAGGCCATCAGTGAAATAGAGAGAAATCCGAAATATTTTTTCTCCCATGCAAAATCGAGATCAAAAGCCACATCTAGTATCGGGCCCCTGCGAAAGGGAGATGGAACTTTCACCGATGACAACAAAGAAATGAGCAAGTTACTGAGGAAGCAGTACAACTCTGTTTTCAGCGAGCCATTAAGCGGACTAAAGATTGATAATTCAAATGAATTTTTCATGGATGTGATACAAACATCAAATCATATATCAGACGTAACCCTATCCCCACTGGATTTTGAAGAAGCCATAAACAGTATGCGTATGCACTCTACACCAGGTCTGGATTCTTGGAACTCTATATTCATCAAGAACTGTAAAAAGCCACTATCGTAGGCCCTCCACATTCTGTCGAGACAAAGCCAAGATACTGGCGTTATCCCTGATATACTAAAAAGAGCAGAGATAGCACCACTTCATAAAGGAGGAAATAAGGCAGAGGCAAAAAATTACAGACCGATAGTACTAACATCGCACATCATAAATTTTTTTGAGAGAGTGCTAAGAAGTAAGATCACAAAATACATGGAATCACAACATCTCCATAACCCCGGACAACATGGTTTCAGAACAGGGCGCTCTTGCCTGTCCCAGTTGCTGGACCACTATGATATGGCATTAGATGCCATGGAAGACAAACAAAACGCTAATGTAATTTGCACAGATTTCGCAAAAGCTTTTGATAAATGTGACCATGGTGGTATTGCACATAAAATGCGTTCAAAAGGAATTACCGGAAAAATAGGCAAATGGATCTACAATTTCCTGACCAACAGAACCCAATGTGTAATAGTCAACAAAATAAAATCCAGCCCATCAACCGTGAAGAGCTCAGTCCCCCAGGGTACTGTGCTTGCTCCAGTACTTTTTCTCATCCTCATATCGGACATAGACAAGAACATAACCTTTAGCACTGTATCATCCTTTGCAGATGACACTAGGATCTTCATGTGAGTAGGCAACATAGAGGACACGGCAAACCTCCAATCAGATGTAGATCAGGTCTTTCTATGGGCTACAGAAAATAATATGGTGTTTAACGAAGATAAGTTCCAGCTAATGCGCTACGGAAAAAATGAAAATATAAAAACGGAAACCACGTACAAAACTCAGGCAAATAATAACATAGAACGAAAAGGCAATGTAAAGGTGTACTCATGTCGGAAGACCTTACCTTTAAAGAACATAATAAAGTAGCCATCACAACTGCAAGAAAAATGACAGGATGGATAACAAGAACTTTTCACACTAGAGATGCTATACCGATGATACTTTTCAAAACGCTTGTGCTCTCTAGAGTGGAGTACTGCTGCGCAATGACTGCCCCTTTCAGAGCTGGAGAAATTGCGGACCTGGAGAGTGTGCAGAGATCCTTTACTGCTAGAATCCACTCAGTAAAACATCTAAACTATTGGGACCGTCTAAAGAGCCTAAATCTGTACTCCCTTGAGCGCAGGTGGGAGAGATACATAATAATTTACACGTGGAAAATATTAGAGGGGCTGGACCCAAACCTGCACACAGAAATAACATCCCACGAGACCAGAAGACATGGCAGGATGTGGAGAATACCCCCGTTGAAAAGCAGAGGTGCAACAGGTACTCTGAGAGAACTCTATCAACATCAGAGGCCCGAGACTGTTCAACACGCTTCCGCACACATAAGGGGCATAACTGGCAAACCCCTCACAGTGTTCAAGAGAGAACTGGATAAGCACCTCCAAAGGATACCTGATCAACCAGGCTGTGACTCATACGTCAGGCTGCAAGCAGCAGCGTCCAACAGCCTGGTTGATCAGTCCAGCAATCAGGAGGCATGGTCGACGACCGGGCCGCGGGGACGCTAAGCCCCGGAAGCACCTCAAGGTAACCTTAAGGTAACCCACCATGAGAGTAAGAACAAGACCGGAACGTGAAAATGCCCACACAGAAGACTGCTCAACATGATACGTCAAATACACCTGATTAATCTTTGTATTTATGGCCTATTTCTTTAAAGGCCTTAAAACTTTATGCCTTACTTTTTCTTATTAAAACTTTATGCCTTACATCAGCAGATGAAGCGGTTAATTATCCAACAGAGTTTTTTAATTCACTCGAAATGCCAGGGATACCATCACACGTACGGCAATTGAAAATCAGCATGCCAATTATCATGTTGCGAAATATCAACCGGCCGAAACTTTGCAACGCCATGCGCCTTACAGTAAAAAAATTAATCAGCGACGTCGTAGAAGCAACAGTCTTTAGAGGACCTTCCAAAAGTCAAGAGGTCCTCATTCCTCGCATTTCAATGATTCCAACAGATATGCCATTTCAATTTAAGAGATCGTAATTTCCAATTCGATTGGCATTTGCAATCACCATCAACAAAACTCAGGACCAATCTTTAGAAGTATGTAAGTAATTATCAAAAGAAGGCACCAAACCGGGAAGGCTATTTAGCACCATCAAATGCGCAAAATAATCAGAGGGCGCTAAATATCACCAAGGATGCCAATACGAGAACAAAAACGCATAAGGCGAACGATATCAAAAGTATCCGAGTCACCAAGAATTCTATCGAGGGACAGGTGACCGCGAGGGGCGGTCGGAAAGCAAGACACACGCTCGTCCTGGAAGTCAGGACATTCAAGAAGGACATGCACGACCGTAA